TAGCTCAGCGCCCGCAGAAGACCTCATCGCCTGAAATGCCCGGGCATGCTCATGGCGGTGCTGCCGCTGGTAGGCTTCATGGGTAGCAAGGAAGAAAGGGCCGCATGGAGGAGGTTGAAAACCAGCACAAAAGGTATCAATCCCAACAACCACGTAGGGAAAACGAAGTAACTTACTACATAGAAATACATGAACATGGTAGCAACTGCCGTTATCTCCGATGGCCCTGCACAGACAGATCCAAAATGAGAGATGCGGAGGGACTCTTTCCCAACTTTGTCGGTCGCCAGGGAAGGGAGGGGAGGGGCAGCCGGTGAGGAATCTAGGAGGGGCTGCCGGCGAGGAATCTAGGAGGGGTTCGCCGGGGAACATAGCGGAGGGGCTGCCTGTGAGGGATCTGGTAGGTATTCTGGAAGACACAGTCTCTTGGTTTCTAGGAGTTTTAGCAACATATCAAACACGTATCTCCTCATATTTTCCCACAGGGTTTCGGAGGAGTTTTTCAGGGTGATAATACTTACACTAAAAGCATGGATTAGGGGGGACTGTTAGAATTTAATTAATCCTATTAATAACTGCTTATCCTAACAAAGGCGGTTGCCTCACATCCCTACGCATCATCAATAATGACAACAGTTCACTTTCCACCGCTGTTACTTTGTACCGATTGTTCTCTGTTGATCTCTACTTTAAACAGGATTGACGATCTGCAAGGTAGAAAATCCAATCTTTTGCACAGACTGCCAGACTTTCTTCAATGGTCAGACATGTAAAAACTAAGCATACTTATCGATAATGCAATCTGACACGCGCTATGAATCCGTATTTGATTGCACAGACTACCAGACTTTCTTCAATGCTCAGACATGTAAAAACTAAGCATACTTATCGATAATGCGATCTGACACGCGCTATGAATCCGTATTTGAATTTCAAATTGTTCTTTACTAGCAAACATATAGTTAATAGTTTTGGATGACTGGCTTCCGCATCAATGTCCGCGGACTAGTCCCACGGTCCACGGACAGATGCGGTATCAGTTTTGCAGGTCAACATTGGAGATGCCTGGTAAAATTAGATGATTTGCTTACTAATCAAGTGGCATGCCAAATTTAAAAGAAAAAAAAACTAGAAAAACTTTCCTCAAAGAGAATAAGGAAAAAAGTCTCACTTACATGCTCCAAAAAAATCAAAAAAATTCTCACCGCAGCCAACCAACATGCACCATGTGGCATAGCTGACCAGCGGCGTTTCACTCTACCTTAATGTGTTTGATGATGGGCACCATCATTGCCATTGTGTAATATTAATTGTACAGTAGCGGCAGCATCAACTAATGCAATTATAATATGAGGTTGCCCTTCATGTATAGTATTTCTAGGAGAATGGCGTTTTGGATCCTAGGTGTAAATACACCAATTATGAAATATGTATAAAAACACATTTCAAAATGTTAAAAGTTCGAGAAAAAAACCCGCATGTACATCCAGACATGCTATATTCGCACACAAAATTTCAGTGAAAAGGGAAATTTTTATGGCATGTATAAAAAAGATGAAAAAATGCCCCGTGAATAGCTGTAATCAAGCATTGAAAATTGCATTTTTTTACACAAGCCACAAAAAATGTCCTTTTTTTCATTGAAACTTGGTGCACACACATATAATGTCCGAATTTACACGCATGGTGCATATACACCTATGAGACAATGTGTATTTAGATGTTATTGTCAAAATGTACATAATTATATTTTGAACCATGAAGATGACAGCAATTCTCACCTGTTGATGGGGCATAGTTTCGAGTGCCACCTGATGCATGCCTCTTTTATAAAACTAGTAAAACGGACCGCTCTACCCTTGGGCTACATCTTTTTATCCCTCTCTCATAAGTTGTGCAAATGACCCTATACAAACCACAGGGTCAGAGGAATTTTCTAGAATATGTCACATGAACATATGGAATTTCTTGACTCAACATTGATAAGGCAATGCACGTAATTGGCTTGTATAATACATCTTAACACATGTGTTGGAAATAAACTTGCGATATATTACTATGTGGGGCGTGCTATGTGTCCCTGGGCTGATCTTTTGAATAGATCGGCCGGGTTGCAAGCTGTAAGATCTGACGCCATTGAGTCGTTGACCGGCGCCCTCCACAATTGCAAAAAGAGCTAATGTTGCAAAAACCTTTGCAACATAAGTCATGTTGCAGAAACCTCTGCAAAAAATGTTACGTTACAATTTTATTTTATTTTGCAAAATAGACCATATTGTAGGAATTGTTGCTGCGGCGGCACCATGCGCGCCGGTGCTCCTCTAGGATGGCAATGCACATGAACATAATAGACTTTGCCTCCTAGTTGTCTAAGCAATATAAACGACTTCTATCTTGAGCCAATAGGCTGCTTTAGGCACCTGAAGATATCTTGGGATCCAAGCCAATCGCGTACACTCGGACACCTACGCCATCGATGGTCCTTTGGAGCTCAACATCTTTGAGGTCACAGAATGTGTTGAGGAAGACACCGTACGAACACCTTGATTATTTCACAATGCATTCTAGGCAGGTGAACATCGTTTCATATGGAGTTGTGGTTGAGAAGACCGTGTCTCGCAACCAGAGTGGTGGAGATCATCCAGTGGCATATTCAGTTGCAAACGATCTGAAATTTAGTTAACAAAATAATCAACTACCGGGTGACGTATGTGAGGATGCATCTGCATTATTAGGAAACTAAGAAATATAAATATGCGAGTCTAGTTTACAATTGATGTTATTGTGATTGTCGTTGTGTGTGGCAATGTGCATGCATATGTGAATATGAGTAGTAGTGCAAGTTTACAAAATGTATATGAGGATGCTTGCTCATTATTAGAAAGCTATTTTTACTCTGATTTGTCTACTCCATCTCAATGGTGGTCACTCTATATACAAGTATGGTCTTACATGCAGTTGCACTCGACTCCATGTGCCATCTATATTTATTTTACGATTCATCCTTGGGGCTTGCATTTAATGGAAATGTTCTATATTCCCTTTCAACCGATTCTTGCTCTAGTGTATTCTTTGATTTCTTTATTGTTTGCTTATCCTTTCTTTCCAAATTTCCTTGCACCATAGGATATGCTTCTAGGTTGCCTCTACTTGTTACCACAATGAAATCGACTATTTTTTTATAGTTTTGCTTGGTGTGTGAGTTGTTCGATCCTGCCAAAAATATATACTTTGATCATCAATTCACTGCTTTCTGACTGGCCCATTATTCCAATGATAAGTTATGACTTTTAGCACAGGGCCTCAGTTGAGGGACTACAATACACAGGTCAGCCCACTCGTGTGCATCTCTAATGCCTTACATTGATGTGAGCTAAACTAGTATATACCTTAATTTCTCTATTTCCATAAAGAAACATAGATTATGTTTGTGGACTAAGAATTTTGCAAAGGAAATGCTAACAAAGCATTGCTATAAGCTGATCATTTAACTACACAAATTGTTCCAACAGGTCATAATTATTTTTCATGCAAGCGAACTTTTTTGTTTGACAAATGTTGCATCATTCATAAAAAAGATTTTTAATCATCTCAACAGAAGAGTTCATATGGCTTTTGGAAATGTGCCACTAGTTAAAGAAAAAGGTCCTGTTACTGACTTAAAACGTCTATCTCGCATCAGGAAATGTAATGCTACTTCAAGAAGAAAGTTCACCAATCTCAACAAAATTGTAAACATGTCATTCAAAAATGTGTTGCGGGTTCAAGAAAAATGTCCCAACTATCCATCCAGCATCACAGAAATATCCAAGAAAAATGTTATAACTATTGAAGACACATCCAAAAGCATTCTAAAAAATATAGGGAACGTGAGACTGGATTTTTTGCTCTGGGGCTCCATGGAGCAAAAACAATTCGAAAATCAACTTTCTAAATTTCAAGAAAAATCTGAAAATAAACACACAAGTTCTTGTAGATGTATACATGATACGTGTGAAATTTTATCATGAAATGTGTTTCGATGTGATTTGTACAGAAAGAACAAAAAACATGTACTTTTATAGTGAATAGTACATGTGCTAGAAATACATGATTTTGCCTTTTTTGTGATTCGCATAAAAAATTATTTCGCCATGAAACTTTGCAAACAAGTAGTATACATCCATATGTATGCTTGAATTTTTTTCATAATTTTTAAAACCTATTTTTTTAACTTTTGTAACAAATGGCTCCATGGAGCTCGAGTTCATTTAGTAATTTCCGCGGGAACATCACATATAAGAGAAAAGGACATGACTCAACATAGGCAAAATAACAAAAAATAAAAATTTTACACATCTAAATGATTATGTTGTTCCATTAGTGCAATGTCATGAATCTACATGATTCCCCTAATTTTATATGTCCCTCTCCATCTAATGTGACGGCTTCCTAGTGTATACTCAACTAACTCGCTAAACATTTTATTTCACTCGCTCGAAGAATAGTTGTGTTTTAATATTGTGTCATCCATGTTCTTTGCATCACCTTACATTTAATTCTTTAACTTAATATTGTTATGCTGGAAATTTTTTCGGTTGCCAGATATTAAATGGTAATGAATGGAATATCAATTTGCTAGTTTCTAAATATTTGCAAAGTTTTAGCATGTTTATAGAAAAACTTATGAACATCTACAAACTAAAAATATACAATATGATATTTTTACTATGTATTTAATGGTACTAATTTGGTACGTAGTTAGTGATAATTTTTCAACTTCACACAGTTTGACTTGAGATAAAAAATTATAGATCTTCTTTTTAAGCACAGATGAAGTATGTTATAACTCTATAATATAACATAAATAATATTGTGTGCGAAATGAAATTATGAGGAATTTGCAGAAATGTATTAGGCAATATGTAAGAGTTCACACATATGCCAAACAAGTCCATGTACGGTAACAACATTCTAAGTTTCAGGAATGAATTCATATGAAAATACAAAACAAGTCTCATCTAAATGGAACAAGGTAATGACATCATAAAATTCACCAACAAATTGATTCTAGTTTCTGAAGAGCCTCCTTTCTTCATACACTCGGTTGCTTTGTCCTCGAGATCTTTCGCCCTCCACCTCATCTCTCCACCTTCTTCGTGGCAAAACAACTTTCTAACACTCCTCTCAATCTTCCCCCTCTCCAACTTTCCCTCTAACTCAAATCCTACCTTCCAGACCTCCTGGACATACCTGGCATTTATCATCTGATCGGCAAAATGGGGTCTACATATCATCGGAACACCCTCACATATGCTTTCCAACGTCGAGTTCCAGCCGTTATGGGTCCAAAAGCCACCAACTGCTTGGTGCCCAAGAACTTCTTGTTGAGGGGCCCAACTCACCACCATTCCCCTACCACGTGTCACCTCCTCAAAGCCTTCAGGTAGGCCTACCTTCCCTGAACATTGAACCAAGTTTGGCCTAATCACCCAAAGAAATGGCATGCAACTATTGGCCAAGCCCCATGCGGTCTCCACTAGCTCTTCCTGGGTCATGGATGCCAAGCTCCCAATGCTCAGAAATAGAACGGACTTCGCCTCCTGCTTATCCAACCAATTCAAACAAGTTAGATGTGTGTGTGTGTGTGTTTCTTCTCAGGTCGGCTGGTGTCGTACCGAAGGCATGTGTCCCTCGTAAACAGCGTTTGGTTGGGTCTGATACCCGCCCCTCAGGCCAGTCATAGTAGGAGTAATTTAGCTAGTAACATAACATACTTCAAGAAATTTTTACTTACTATGTGGCATGTAGTTAATGAGAAGTGGTAACATAGTGCTTCACAAGACACGATGAGTCTACAAACTAATCAATAAAGTCTAATATGACACTACTACTATATTACTTTGCACTGCGAAGATAGTAACCTAGACTAGCGAAAATGCCTAGGAGCTCTCGGCGACTCCCCCCACTGGAATCCATCCCATCCACTAGCATTGGGATTCGCACTCGCTATATTAGCTCCGTTGTATTCACACCATTTAACATCTAGTATTCATTTGCACAGTGAGGTATATCACCTGAACAGTTCAACGCGCTTTCTCCCCTCGTCCAGACAAATTCACATCCTCCTGTCCTTCTCCCCCTCTCATCCGCCAACTCCCAACTACCCATCTGAATTTAATGCTCACGCTTCACAATTTCTCGCAACGGCTCAATCCTCACTACAACGGTCATCTTCCTCCTCTCGTCAGATATAAAATACTTGCAGCTTGCAGCTTGCAGCTTCCTCACTACTGCATATCATACCATCAAGAACAGTTCATACCAGCCATCAAGTACAGCTTCCTCCCTTGTACATGGTTCTCATTGCCATGTCTAGCTCAACCCATCCCATGTCAAGCTCCAGCTCCCCCCTTGTTTCTCTTGAGGAGCAGCCACCACTTTCACTAATGATATGCCCTTTCTGCAACAATGGGATGGTTTAGTGGTGGGTGTCTCGCACGACAAACAATCCAGGAAAGCACTTTTACAAGTGCGAGCACGAGTGGGTATGTCCTAATACTTTAATCAATTTTTGTGTACTATCATGTTCTACTGCATGATCCCATCTTCCTTTTTTCTTCCGTTTTTGCAAGACTCGCAAATGCAACTTTTGGAAATGAGAGGAGAACTACATCAACGTCATACATGCCAAGTGGCCGAGGCTGTTCACCGTCCCTTCCCGCGAAGACGGGAAATTACACCGCATCATCATCGCTCTCCTCCTAGTCAATCTGCTCGCTCTGTTCTTCGTATGCTGCAAGGTCGCTTGAAGCCGCCAGGACCTCTCCCGACTCCTGCCTGTCCTTCAAGTTCAAGCCGTTTTTTATTGAATAAATATGTTTATCTGTATTGTCTAAAACCACTTGTCTTACTCTGGCAAATTCTGTTTTTTTATTTATCCACCCTCTGATTATATGTTGTAATCATGTATCACAACTAGTACCCCATTCATAAATTCGAAATCAGATGTATGATATTATTTTTTTTCATTGTCCACCTTATCCATTATTACACTTAACTATTACTATCATTTTCCAGATTAACTCCATCATTAATGTTCAGTACTTACGTCCAACCGTTGGCCCATGTCACGTTGCACCCTTTCTCAATAAATAACCTCTCCCCACCAAGTCAACAATTCCCTGCCCAAAAGCCTGCTTGAACAGCCAGAACTGCATCTGTACAACCATCAATCTCGCCCGGCAGCTGTCCCCACATACTCACTTTCTTTGGTTTCCCCTATTGAGAAAGAAAACTAAATTCAATAAGCAGAAAAAATTCTGAAAAAAATATAAATAACCAAACAATATATAGATTGTTTGATTACCCCGCAGTTGCACAACAGCTCTTGTATGCTTTTAGCACCTTTGACATTTGTACGGCTCTTCCGGTACCTGATTCCAAAACCGCACTCCGATGAATACAGGTTGCAGTAGTCGTAAGCTTCTCCTAGCGAATCAAATGTCAAGCCCAAAGAAGGCACAACAACTGCATCTCCTTTCCTCTCAGCAAATCCTCTAAATGCTAGTTCCAGTGCATTAATCCTATCTGCACTAGCCGCTCGTTTGTCAGGCATTGCGCCGTGTCTGTTACTGTAATTGAAAAAAACAAATGCCCCATGTCAATATCATATAAATTTGCTTAACGGTACATACAATTAGGAGAACATATTTAATTTCAATGTTGTGGATATGTCCATAATATAATTAAATTTTTCAGACTTCTAGCCTTCTTCTATACGTGTGCATCAAGCTCATAAATCAAGTTAATGATGGAACTTGTACAGAGATAACTTACCGTCGAACCCAGCCGCTCTTTTCCCTTTCAACATCAGTCACATTTGGAGTCCTTGATTTCGAACCATGATCTCCATCTAGAACTGTTGAGATGTGCTGCTCTGTGCTTCCATTAGAAGAATCCAGCTCGTCAGCTTCGGCTACCGTCGACAGTGCACGCGCCTCTTTGACGGACATCTGAGCTATGCCCGTGGCGCACTCGTCGGCTCTTATTTCTTCATTCGATCTTGAAGGGGACAGTAGCAAAAGCAAAATAAACAATTAATCATCTAATAAAGCAGTTCTGCTTTCCAATCTGTTCTAAACCTAAAGAACTTACATGGAATCGATGCCGGTGAGTTGGTGGTAAAGCGGATCTGCTGGATTGCTCGTCTTCTTATGCCGAAAAAGTACTCAAGATACAGATTACTGATAAACAACTGACGCACAGGCCGAGTACTACCAAACTGAAATACCCTTCTTCTGTGGCGATTTTGTTAGTGCGGAAATCACTACCGGCAGCCGAGAGGAGAATTGTTTTACAGATCTGGCTATGGAGTGTTTGCGTGCAAGGAGAAGACTCCACAGATAGGCGATGGTAGAGTAAATTAATTAGGTAGGGACAACTTTACTGTAGCAGGTCAGCTCGGACAGGAAACAATAAATGAGCAAGAACATGTATAGACTGTTGCTTCATACAACGCGTACGACGTATTAACAGGCTGTAATGTTTTACAGCAAATCGGCACAGATCCCAAGGTTGCATCCGTGCGGCAGCGATTTCGTAGGTGTGCGTCGCCGAGTGCTCCTAATCCACCTCCACTAGACTAGTGTCATATGCATGACACTAGTATAAGTTATTCCCCACTATGACCAATCTTACATAAAATCACAAATGGTAACACTTTAACAAAGGAAAAGAAGTATAGGAAATTATTTGTACCACCACTATTAACATGTATAGCTAGTTGTATCATGAACAGTAAACAAATCGCCACAAAAAAGTACGGAGTGTTTCTTGGTACGTTTTTTTAAAAAGCCACTGGTGTTTCTATTGATAACCCATGGTACAGTATTAAGTCCCTCTCCATTCTCTTTAGTTGTTACATTTCGGCCCAACTTCTGTGTCCACTGAGTGCTGGTTAGTATTCTACGTTTAGCTGCAGTAGGCCTAGTTCACTCTATTTTCAACCCGTTGAGGTCCATGGTCTTTTTTAGTTACAGCGAATATGTTAAAATGATCATGCTATAACTTTGCAACCACAACTCAGATTAAAATAATTTATATATGTAATTTGACCAGAAAAATGCTTAGCTTGAAACTGTTCGATTAGTCGCTCCTGCTAACTAGTATTAAATTATTTTCCAGGAATAACATTAATTAATCTAACTAATTGCTGCGTAATATTAAATGGTTTTTACCTCATTTAAATTGGATACATATGTTAAATAAAGTATGATGTCTATTCTGCTAATAACCGCGCCGCTCAACGGGAATGCATAACATTTTTAAGCAAGAGTACTGCAATACTAAGAGCATCTTCAGCCGTTTGGCCCCTAGCGCACCCGGCGATAGCGATTTGGTCAATGCGCCGGTGGTTTTTTCGCCCCGGGGGCGATGCAGTTCCCAGCCGCGCCCCCAGGTTTCTGAAGAAAAAATGCCCTAAAGGCAATAATAAAGTTGTTATTATATTTCCTTATATCATGATAAATGTTTATTATTCATGCTAGAATTGTATTAACCGGAAACTTAGTACATGTGTGAATACATAGACAAAACAGAGTGTCTCTACTATGCCTCTACTTGACTAGCTCGTTAATCAAATATGGTTATGTTTCCTAACCATAGACATGTGTTGTCATTTGATGAACGAGATCACATCATTAGAGAATGATGTGATGGACAAGGCCCATCCGTTAGCTAAGCATAATGATCGTTTAGTTTTATTGCTATTGCTTTCTTCATGACTTATACATATTCCTCTGACTATGAGATCATGCAACTCCCCAATACCGGAGGAACACTTTATGTGCTATCAAATGTCACAACGTAACTGGGTGATTATAAAGATGCTCTATAGGTGTCTCCGATGGTGTTTGTTGAGTTGGCATAGATTGAGATTAGGATTTGTCGCTCCGAGTATTGGAGAGGTATCTCTGGGCCCTCTCGGTAATGCATATCACTATGAGCCTTGCAAGCAATGTGACTAATGAGTTAGTTACAGGATGATGCATTACGGAACGAGTAAAGAGACTTGCTGGTAACGAGATTGAACTAGGTATGATGATACCGATGATGGAATATCGGGCAAGTAACATACCGATGACAAAGGAAATGACGTATGTTCTTATGCGGTTTGACCGATAAAGATCTTCGTAGAATATGTAGGAGCCAATATGAGCATCCTGGTCCTACTATTGGTTATTGACCGTAGATGTGTCTCGGTCATGTGTACATAGTTCTCGAACCCGTAGGGTCCGCATGCTTAACGTTCGATGACGATTTGTATTATGAGTTATGTGATTTGATGACCAAAATTTGTTCAGAGTCCCGGATGAGTTCACGGACATAACGAGGAGTCTTGAAATGGTCGAGAGGTAAAGATTCATATATTGGAAGGTTATATTCGGACATTGAAATGGTTCCGAGTGATCCGAGAATTTTTCCGAAGTACCGAGGGGTTACCGAAACCCCTGGGGAAGTTAATGGGCCTTAGTGGGCTTTAGTGCAGAGAGGGAAGAAGGGCCATGAGGTGGCACGCGCCTCCCCCTGCCCAAACCAAATTGGACAAGGGGTGGGGGTGCGGCCCCCTCCTTCCTTCTCCTTCTCCCCTCCTTCCTTTCCCTCCAGTGGAAGAAAGGAAAGGGGGGAATCCTAGTTGGACTAGGAGTCCAAGTAGGACTCCCCCCTGGCGCGCCTTCTCGTTGGCCGGCCTCCTCCTCCCCCTCCTTTATATACGTGAGCAGAGAGGCACTCCAAGGCACAACAAACAATCTCTTAGCCGTGTGCGGTGCTCCCCTCCACAGTTTAACACCTCGGTCATATCATCGTAGTGCTTAGGCGAAGCCCTGCGCCGGTAACTTCATAAACACCGTCGCCACGCCGTCGTGTTGACGGAACTCTCCCTTGTCCTCAACTAGATCAAGAGCTCGAGGGAGGACGTCATCGTGCTGAATGTGTGCTGAACACGGAGGTGCCGTATGTTCGATATTTGGATCAGTTGGATAGTGAAGACGTTCGACTACATCAATCGTGTTACTAAACGCTTGCGCTTTCGGTCTATGAGGGTACGTGGACACACTCTCCCGTCACGTTGCTATGCATCTCCTAGATAGATCTTGCGTGATCGTAGGAAATTTTTTAAAATACTGCATTCCCCAACAGTTTCGGCCCCAAGACGCACATAAATTCAAATTTGTCTTTTCTCGCTGCCAAAAAAATGCCACAAGTTCGGCGATCAACGGCGATCTGCCACAAAGTTCGAGGATCACCATACCACAGTTCGGCGATCAAACATAAACGATAGTTCGGCGCTCAAAAGGAATGACGCGTAGACAAAGGAATGCATCAAACGACGGGCTCCTCCAGCGTGGGACTGGCAGGCGTCCGCATCGGCGTGGCTTCTATGCTCGGGCTGCTCAACATCGGCGTGGCTTTTGTGCTCGGGCTGCTCGGCGTCGGCGTGGCTTCTGGGCTGGGCGTCGGCGTGGCTTCACCCCTCGGGCTGAGTGTCGGCCCGGCGTTGGGGTCAGCGTGGGCGTAGGCGCGGTGGTCCAAGGCATCTGGTTCAAGATGAGGCCGCGCTCTGTCAAGACCACGCCTTGATTTGCACGTCAATCGTCGACATGTCCGCCCCCATCAAGAAAGCCAGGTCGGTGTTCCTCTTCTTCGCGGTGACGTTGGTCCGGAGTAGGTCAAGTTTGATGGCGATGTTCGTCATCAACGCCGACCACCGCGCCTCGGATTTCTGCTCCCTCTTGGCGGCGTGGTTCTTGGCATTGGCGATGCACTGCTCGATCGACGATAGCAGCCGCTCGGCAGCTGGTGTGGCGTCCTTCGCCGTCTTGGCTCTTTTGTTGTCGTCAGGGCGCCCATCCGCCGCCCCCAGGGCTGGCGCGTCCGGCTTGTACGTCTCCAAGGCCTTGGCAAGGGTGCGCCAGACATCCGTCCACTTCTCGCACTTCTCGATCCGGGTTAATATGTGGAGGAACATGAATTCTTGGTCGTTGTTGTCCTGGCGGTACATGGTGAACATCCAAACCATTTGCGCAGCCGAAGAATTAGTGTCGGTGACGTGCACGGCGAAAAGAAGCGAGAGCCGGCGGCTGTACATACCTGACCCTCGACGTTGGCGCCGCTTTCCGCGCGAGCCGCGATCTCCTCGACGAACCCAGGCCATTTGTTGCGGGCCGTCTGAATGATCGCCCAATAGTTCGACATGGCCTTTGCGCCGCACTGCATGTGGATGGTGGCGAAGTAGGGGTCGACAAGCTTTTCGCTGCAGTTTTATAACCGATTGTTGAAACAAGGCGTGTGATACGCCATCGGAAGGCCGTGGAAGAGGCTCAACTTTCATAAATAGAACATTTTCTGAGATTCCTTACGGTTTTAAATGAATTTTTAATATAGTGTTACAGCTGACGAGTGACAACGATCGTTTTTTCATGATTTTTTCCAAACCTCTTATTGAAATAATGCAAACGGTACACCATTGGAAAGACATCAATGAGGCGCAATGTAGAACACTCTCTCTAATTCCTTACAGTTTAAGAGCATTTTTTATTTAACAAAGTACGGACAATCTGTTTTTTGCGACATCAAAATCGACGAGTGCATCAGACATGAAAGCAAAAATGTGCCTCTTAATATAAAACTATAGTTCAAGCATCTTAATATAAGTGTTCAAATGTTTTCCGAAAACGTGCCTCTAGTTTTTTTGGCGAAAAAGGGTCCAGATATGTTACAAAAGTTCACCTAAGTTTGAAAAGAAGAATAAACATGGTAGCTGAAAAAATAAAAGAAAAACCAAAAATGATAATTTTAAACATAAATAGAAAAGTAAAAATGAAAAATAAAGAACATAAAAAAATGGGCTGGCCCAGAGAGGGGCGAACCTGTGCGGAGCTCCCGACAGTTTGCCGCAATGTGCGCCGTATAGGGGTTTCCGTTCAGGGAGCTCCTATTCAGCGCTTTAGGCACCAGGGAAGCTCCCTGGCGCCCACATGCCGGAGCTGGTGGGCCGGTGCATTTATACGTCCGCCTTTGAGAAAAAAGGGGGGAAATCGATAAAGCAAAAAATGATAAATTTGAAAAATTCATCATTATGAAAAACAGTAAATCAAATTTGAGAAAATCACCGATTTTCATAAAAAATCATCTATTTTTCAAAAAAAATCATCGATATTGAAAAAAGTTCACGGAATTAAAAAAGGTTCTTCAAATATAAATAAAAGTTCATCAATTTTAAAAAAGGTTCTTTGAAGTTTTAAAAAAGATCATCAAATTGGAAAAATCATGAAATTTGAAACAAGTTCATAGACTTTTTAAAAAATATATAGATTTGCCAAAAATAACAAATTTGGAACAGTTCATCAAGTTTAAAAAAATCATCAATTTGAAAAAAATGTTCACGTATTTACAAACAATTCATCGAGCCAGTAAGAACAAAAATAAAGAAACCGAAAATGAAAAAGAAGAAAAGAAAAAACAAAAAGGAACAGGACCAATAAAAGAAGAAAGAAATGAAAGCTAACAGATCCTGGTGATGGGCGTGGTGGTTAACTATGCTACCTCGACGACAATAGTAACAGTGCCTGGAGCATCAAATAGGGTCTGCCTTCCGTTCCTTCTTTAGAAGGCTATTCGTTCCATCTAGGATATCCTGGTATTTCTTTATAGAAAAAACTTCATAAGCACCAAACGCTCAAGCCGAGACTTGTATCCTGGTGGGCTAACAGAGAACTTCCGCGCCTTATTTTATGGCTTAAGGCTTTTTCAAAAGAAATTCCCGACCGCCCTCGACACCCATGCCGCCATCACAAGAAAGAAACACGTGGATCTGAACAAGAAAAACAACAAGAACGCTCACGCGTGACGAGGAAAGCAGTCCAACACGTAGCACTGGTCGTTGAATAATGCTGCCACCTAGAACTATCTTGTGTTGTTGCTAGTCTATCTTCTTGTTGTAGGGCAATTGCCTTCTTCCAGATGCCACGACGCGTGAGTCACTGCGTACGTACTAGCTCATACTATATAGTGTATAAAATGACCAGAGTCCTCCGTTGTAATGCAAGCAACCAAGGCTTCGAGCGTGTGCTGTGCCTATACGTGAGCTTCAGTGCCGAGTGAGCCATAGTAGCCTAGCCTAGCTGACTCCCGCGATGAGCTGGTGGTGGGCGGGCGCGGTGGGCGCCGTCAAGAAGAGCCAGGAGGAGCGCACCGAGCTCTCCTTCCAGAGCGTCGCCCTCGTCATCGGATCCACCGGCATCGTCGGCACATCGCTCGTCGACATACTCCCGCACGACGACACCCCCGGCGGGCCCTGGAAGGTGTACGCCGTCTCCCGTCGCCCGCTCCCTCCCTGGTCCCCGCAGCCCTCCCCCGCCGTCACGCATCTGCTCCTGGACCTGGCCGACCCTGTCGCCGTGGCGGAGGCCCTCAAGCCGCTCACCGACATCACCCATGTCTTCTACGCTGCGTGGTCCAGCCACCCGACGGAGGCTCAGAACCGGGAGGCCAACTCCGCCATGCTCCGGAACGTGCTCTCCGTCCTCGTCCCGGGCTGCCCCGCGCTCGCCCACGTCTGCCTCCAGACCGGCCGCAAGCACTACATCGGCCCGTACGAGGCCATCGGCAAGATCCCCGTCCCAGACCCGCCCTACACCGAGGATATGCCCCGCCTCGATTACCCCAACTTCTACTACGACCAGGAGGACGTCCTCTTTGAGGAGGTCTCCCGCCGCGACGGCGCCGTCAGCTGGTCTGTGCACCGTCCCTCCGTGGTCTTTGGGTTCTCTCCCCGGAGTGCCATGAATGTCGTGGCCAGCCTATCCGTCTATGCCGCCATCTGCCGCAAGGAGGGCGCCATGCTGAGGTGGCCTGGGAGCAGGGTTGCATGGGAGGGCTTCAGCGACGCCTCCGACGCGGATCTTGTCGCCTAGCAGGAGATCTGGGCAGCCGTCGATCCGTTGGCAAGGAACGAGGCTTTCAATTGCAGCAATGGAGATTTATACAAGTGGAAGCAGCTCTGGCCGATGGTGGCTGACCGATTCGGGGTGGAGTGGGCGGGATACGAGGGAGAGGACAGCCGGTTCATGCTCGCCGACGCCATGGCCGGGAAGGAGGCGGTGTGGGCAGAGATCCTCCAGGAGAACGAGCTTGTCACGACTGAGCTCCAAGAGATTGCCAATTGGTGGTTCCTCGATGCCGTGTTCAATGTCAAGTGTGAGCATTTGGATAGCATGAACAAGAGCAAGGAGCATGGATTCCTTGGATTCCGTAACACGGCCAAGTCCTTCAACGCATGGATTGATAAGATGAAGGTTTTGAAGATTGTTCCATGATGCTGCCACATCCCATTTCCTTTCTTTGAAGTTAGTTTCGTTACATCATTTCTGTGTTTGGGTTTGGGAAGGTGGCATGATGTAAAATGTTATAGTGCAGAATAAAGTATGACGACAAAATAAATCTCCGCGTAAATGAATTATCCATGCTCATCATGTAAGGCACTAATACTCGTGTTTGGTATTGCTGGTCTGTTGCTTTTGACTTCAGAACTGAGATAGCTCCCAAAAGCCGGCACATCTGGTTGATTGTTCTAATTGATTGCTGATGTTGGCATGTTTGACAAATATCACCAGTTGGGTATCAAAATCCGATTTGGAATTGTGTTTTCTGTCTCCAATAATAGCCCCTAATATCCCATCCAGTTTTGCTAAAGCACATCTAAATGTGCCATAAGTATTGCACATCTAAGTTTTATGTCATTGATCTTACGTCGAGATTCGTGTGTGGATATTTCCTTTTTCTTTTCTTTTTCTCTTTGTGCTTGAATTCACTCACTTAGATGTGCAATAACTAGGGCATATCTAAATGTGCCCTAGACACACCCTATCTCATCCACTACTTTTTCACCACAAAAAGATTCCAACCGCGGCAACGGAGCCTCGTTCTTAATCTGTAGTCTCTTTTCTCATGACATCACATGTAGGCTCTTTCTCATGGCACCAAAAAGTAAGCCCTATGAAGAGGACTAGAGGTTGGGGCCCGCTACTGCGGGCCGCTTGAGAGAAAGATGTGCGTGTGTTTCTCCATCTTAAAGGGAAAAAGGAAACAAAACCTCACTTTCATCTCAAAACTGGGGGAAAAATATCACATCAGATGGACATCACATCCAAATTTAAAAGAAAAAAAAAACTAGAAAAACTTTCCTCAAAGAGAATAAGGAAAAAAGTCTCACTTACATGCTCCAAAAAAATCAAAAAAATTCTCACCGCAGCCAACCAACATGCACCATGTGGCATAGCTGACCAGCGGCGTTTCACTCTACCTTAATGTGTTTGATGATGGGCACCATCATTGCCATTGTGTAATATTAATTGTACAGTAGCGGCAGCATCAACTAATGCAATTATAATATGAGGTTGCCCTTCATGTATAGTATTTCTAGGAGAATGGCGTTTTGGATCCTAGGTGTAAATACACCAATTATGAAATATGTATAAAAACACATTTCAAAATGTTAAAAGTTCGAGAAAAAAACCCGCATGTACATCCAGACATGCTATATTCGCACACAAAATTTCAGTGAAAAGGGAAATTTTTATGGCATGTATAAAAAAGATGAAAAAATGCCCCGTGAATAGCTGTAATCAAGCATTGAAAATTGCATTTTTTTACACAAGCCACAAAAAATGTCCTTTTTTTCATTGAAACTTGGTGCACACACATATAATGTCCGAATTTACACGCATGGTGCATATACACCTATGAGACAATGTGTATTTAGATGTTATTGTCAAAATGTACATAATTATATTTTGAACCATGAAGATGACAGCAATTCTCACCTGTTGATGGGGCATAGTTTCGAGTGCCACCTGATGCATGCCTCTTTTATAAAACTAGTAAAACGGACCGCTCTACCCTTGGGCTACATCTTTTTATCCCTCTCTCATAAGTTGTGCAAATGACCCTATACAAACCACAGGGTCAGAGGAATTTTCTAGAATATGTCACATGAACATATGGAATTTCTTGACTCAACATTGATAAGGCAATGCACGTAATTGGCTTGTATAATACATCTTAACACATGTGTTGGAAATAAACTTGCGATATATTACTATGTGGGGCGTGCTATGTGTCCCTGGGCTGATCTTTTGAATAGATCGGCCGGGTTGCAAGCTGTAAGATCTGACGCCATTGAGTCGTTGACCGGCGCCCTCCACCATTGCAAAAAGAGCTAATGTTGCAAAAACCTTTGCAACATAAGTCATGTTGCAGAAACCTCTGCAAAAAATGTTACGTTACAATTTTATTTTATTTTGCAAAATAGACCATATTGTAGGAATTGTTGCTGCGGCGGCACCATGCGCGCCGGTGCTCCTCTAGGATGGCGATGCACATGAACATAATAGACTTTGCCTCCTAGTTGTCTAAGCAATATAAACGACTTCTATCTTGAGCCAATAGGCTGCTTTAGGCACCTGAAGATATCTTGGGATCCAAGCCAATCGCGTACACTCGGACACCTACGCCATCGATGGTCCTTTGGAGCTCAGCATCTTTGAGGTCACAGAATGTGTTGAGGATGACACCGTACGAACACCTTGATTATTTCACAATGCATTCTAGGCAGGTGAACATCGTTTCATATGGAGTTGTGGTTGAGAAGACCGTGTCTTGCAACCAGAGTGGTGGAGATCATCCAGTGGCATATTCAGTTGCAAGCGATCTGAAATTTAGTTAACAAAATAATCAACTACCGGGTGACGTATGTGAGGATGCATCTGCATTATTAGGAAACTAAGAAATATAAATATGCGATTCTAGTTTACAATTGATGTTATTGTGATTGTCGTTGTGTGTGGCAATGTGCATGCATATGTGAATATGAGTAGTAGTGCAAGTTTACAAAATGTATATGAGGATGCTTGCTCATTATTAGAAAGCTATTTTTACTCTGATTTGTCTACTCCATCTCAATGGTGGTCACTCTATATACAAGTATGGTCTTACATGCAGTTGCACTCGACTCCATGTGCCATCTATATTTATTTTACGATTCATCCTTGGGGCTTGCATTTAATGGAAATGTTCTATATTCCCTTTCAACCGATTCTTGCTCTAGTGTATTTTTTGATTTCTTTATTGTTTGCTTATCCTTTCTTTCCAAATTTCCTTGCACCATAGGATATGCTTCTAGGTTGCCGCTACTTGTTACCACAATGAAATCGACTATTTTTTTATAGTTTTGCTTGGTGTGTGAGTTGTTCGATCCTGCCAAAAATATATACTTTGATCATCAATTCACTGCTTTCTGACTGGCCCATTATTCCAATGATAAGTTATGACTTTTAGCACATGGCCTCAGTTGAGGGACTACAATACACAGGTCAGCCCACTCGTGTGCATCTCTAATGCCTTACATTGATGTGAGCTAAACTAGTATATACCTTAATTTCTCTATTTCCATAAAGAAACATAGATTATGTTTGTGGACTAAGAATTTTGCAAAGGAAATGCTAACAAAGCATTGCTATAAGCTGATCATTTAACTACACAAATTGTTCCAACAGGTCATAATTATTTTTCATGCAAGCGAACTTTTTTGTTTGACAAATGTTGCATCATTCATAAAAAAGATTTTTAATCATCTCAACAGAAGAGTTCATATGGCTTTTGGAAATGTGCCACTAGTTAAAGAAAAAGGTCATGTTACTGACTTAAAACGTCTATCTCGCATCAGGAAATGTAATGCTACTTCAAGAAGAATGTTCACCAATCTCAACAAAATTGTAAACATGTCATTCAAAAATGTGTTGCGGGTTCAAGAAAAATGTCCCAACTATCCATCCAGCATCACGGAAATATCCAAGAAAAATGTTATAACTATTGAAGACACATCCAAAAGCATTCTAAAAAATATAGGGAACGTGAGACTGGATTTTTTGCTCTGGGGCTCCATGGAGCAAAAACAATTCGAAAATCAACTTTCTAAATTTCAAGAAAAATCTGAAAATAAACACACAAGTTCTTGTAGATGTATACATGATACGTGTGAAATTTTATCATGAAATGTGTTTCGATGTGATTTGTACAGAAAGAACAAAAAACATGTACTTTTATAGTGAATAGTACATGTGCTAGAAATACATGATTTTGCCTTTTTTGTGATTCGCATAAAAAATTATTTCGCCATGAAACTTTGCAAACAAGTAGTATACATCCATATGTATGCTTGAATTTTTTTCATAATTTTTAAAACCTATTTTTTTAACTTTTGTAACAAATGGCTCCATGGAGCTCGAGTTCATTTAGTAATTTCCGCGGGAACATCACATATAAGAGAAAAGGACATGACTCAACATAGGCAAAATAACAAAAAATAAAAATTTTACACATCTAAATGATTATGTTGTTCCATTAGTGCAATGTCATGAATCTACATGATTCCCCTAATTTTATATGTCCCTCTCCATCTAATGTGACGGCTTCCTAGTGTATACTCAACTAACTCGCTAAACATTTTATTTCACTCGCTCGAAGAATATTTGTGTTTTAATATTGTGTCATCCATGTTCTTTGCATCACCTTACATTTAATTCTTTAACTTAATATTGTTATGCTGGAAATTTTTCCGGTTGCCAGATATTAAATGGTAATGAATGGAATATCAATTTGCTAGTTTCTAAATATTTGCAAAGTTTTAGCATGTTTATAGAAAAACTTATGAACATCTACAAACTAAAAATATACAATATGATATTTTTACTATGTATTTAATGGTACTAATTTGGTACGTAGTTAGTGATAATTTTTCAACTTCACACAGTTTGACTTGAGATAAAAAATTATAGATCTTCTTTTTAAGCACAGATGAAGTATGTTATAACTCTATAATATAACATAAATAATATTGTGTGCGAAATGAAATTATGAGGAATTTGCAGAAATGTATTAGGCAATATGTAAGAGTTCACACATATGCCAAACAAGTCCATGTACGGTAACAACATCCTAAGTTTCAGGAATGAATTCATATGAAAATACAAAACAAGTCTCATCTAAATGGAACAAGGTAATGACATCATAAAATTCACCAACAAATTGATTCTAGTTTCTGAAGAGCCTCCTTTCTTCATACACTCGGTTGCTTTGTCCTCGAGATCTTTCGCCCTCCACCTCATCTCTCCACCTTCTTCGTGGCAAAACAACTTTCTAACACTCCTCTCAATCTTCCCCCTCTCCAACTTTCCCTCTAACTCAAATCCTACCTTCCAGACCTCCTGGACATACCTGGCATTTATCATCTGATCGGCAAAATGGGGTCTACATATCATCGGAACACCCTCACATATGCTTTCCAACGTCGAGTTCCAGCCGTTATGGGTCCAAAAGCCACCAACTGCTTGGTGCCCAAGAACTTCTTGTTGAGGGGCCCAACTCACCACCATTCCCCTACCACGTGTCACCTCCTCAAAGCCTTCAGGTAGGCCTACCTTCCCTGAACATTGAACCAAGTTTGGCCTAATCACCCAAAGAAAATGGCATGCAACTATTGGCCAAGCCCCATGCGGTCTCCACTAGCTCTTCCTGGGTCATGGATGCCAAGCTCCCAATGCTCAGAAATAGAACGGACTTCACCTCCTGCTTATCCAACCAATTCAAACAAGTTAGATGTGTGTGTGTGTGTGTTTCTTCTCAGGTCGGCTGGTGTCGTACCGAAGGCATGTGTCCCTCGTAAACAGCGTTTGGTTGGGTCTGATACACGCCCCTCAGGCCAGTCATAGTAGGAGTAATTTAGCTAGTAACATAACATACTTCAAGAAATTTTTACTTACTATGTGGCATGTAGTTAATGAGAAGTGGTAACATAGTGCTTCACAAGACACGATGAGTCTACAAACTAATCAATAAAGTCTAATATGACACTACTACTATATTACTTTGCACTGCGAAGATAGTAACCTAGACTAGCGAAAATGCCTAGGAGCTCTCGGCGACTCCCCCCACTGGAATCCATCCCATCCACTAGCATTGGGATTCGCACTCGCTATATTAGCTCCGTTGTATTCACACCATTTAACATCTAGTATTCATTTGCACAGTGAGGTATATCACCTGAACAGTTCAACGCGCTTTCTCCCCTCGTCCAGACAAATTCACATCCTCCTGTCCTTCTCCCCCTCTCATCCGTCAACTCCCAACTACCCATCCGAATTTAATGCTCACGCTTCACAATTTCTCGCAACGGCTCAATCCTCACTACAACGGTCATCTTCCTCCTCTCGTCAGATATAAAATACTTGCAGCTTGCAGCTTGCAGCTTCCTCACTACTGCATATCATACCATCAAGAACAGTTCATACCAGCCATCAAGTACAGCTTCCTCCCTTGTACATGGTTCTCATTGCCATGTCTAGCTCAACCCATCCCATGTCAAGCTCCAGCTCCCCCCTTGTTTCTCTTGAGGAGCAGCCACCACTTTCACTAATGATATGCCCTTTCTGCAACAATGGGATGGTTTAGTGGTGGGTGTCTCGCACGACAAACAATCCAGGAAAGCACTTTTACAAGTGCGAGCACGAGTGGGTATGTCCTAATACTTTAATCAATTTTTGTGTACTATCCTGTTCTACTGCATGATCCCATCTTCCTTTTTTCTTCCGTTTTTGCAAGACTCGCAAATGCAACTTTTGGAAATGAGAGGAGAACTACATCAACGTCATACATGCCAAGTGGCCGAGGCTGTTCACCGTCCCTTCCCGCGAAGACGGGAAATTACACCGCATCATCATCGCTCTCCTCCTAGTCAATCTGCTCGCTCTGTTCTTCGTATGCTGCAAGGTCGCTTGAAGCCGCCAGGACCTCTCCCGACTCCTGCCTGTCCTTCAAGTTCAAGCCGTTTTTTATTGAATAAATATGTTTATCTGTATTGTCTAAAACCACTTGTCTTACTCTGGCAAATTCTGTTTTTATATTTATCCACCCTCTGATTATATGTTGTAATCATGTATCACAACTAGTACCCCATTCATAAATTCGAAATCAGATGTATGATATTATTTTTTTTCATTGTCCACCTTATCCATTATTACACTTAACTATTACTATCATTTTCCAGATTAACTCCATCATTAATGTTCATTACTTACGTCCAACCGTTGGCCCACGTCACGTTGCACCCTTTCTCAATAAATAACCTCTCCCCACCAAGTCAACAATTCCCTGCCCAAAAGCCTGCTTGAACAGCCAGAACTGCATCTGTACAACCATCAATCTCGCCCGGCAGCTGTCCCCACATACTCACTTTCTTTGGCTTCCCCTATTGAGAAAGAAAACTAAATTCAATAAGCAGAAAAAATTCTGAAAAAAATATAAATAACCAAACAATATATAGATTGTTTGATTACCCCGCAGTTGCACAACAGCTCTTGTATGCTTTTAGCACCTTTGACATTTGTACGGCTCTTCCGGTACCTGATTCCAAAACCGCACTCCGATGAATACAGGTTGCAGTAGTCGTAAGCTTCTCCTAGCGAATCAAATGTCAAGCCCAAAGAAGGCACCACAACTGCATCTCCTTTCCTCTCAGCAAATCCTCTAAATGCTAGTTCCAGTGCATTAATCCTATCTGCACTAGCCGCTCGTTTGTCAGGCATTGCGCCGTGTCTGTTACTGTAATTGAAAAAAACAAATGCCCCGTGTCAATATCATATAAATTTGCTTAACGGTACATACAATTAGGAGAACATATTTAATTTCAATGTTGTGGATATGTCCATAATATAATTAAATTTTTCAGACTTCTAGCCTTCTTCTATACGTGTGCATCAAGCTCATAAATCAAGTTAATGATGGAACTTGTACAGAGATAACTTACCGTCGAACCCAGCCGCTCTTTTCCCTTTCGACATCAATCACATTTGGAGTCCTTGATTTCGAACCATGATCTCCATCTAGAACTGTTGAGATGTGCTGCTCTGTGCTTCCATTAGAAGAATCCAGCTCGTCAGCTTCGGCTACCGTCGACAGTGCACGCGCCTCTTTGACGGACATCTGAGCTATGCCCGTGGCGCACTCGTCGGCTCTTATTTCTTCATTCGATCTTGAAGGGGACAGTAGCAAAAGCAAAATAAACAATTAATCATCTAATAAAGCAGTTCTGCTTTCCAATCTGTTCTAAACCTAAAGAACTTGCATGGAATCGATGCCGGTGAGTTGGTGGTCAAGCGGATCTGCTGGACTGCTCGTCTTCTCATGCCGAAAAAGTACTCAAGATACAGATTACTGATAAACAACTGACGCACAGGCCGAGTACTACCAAACTGAAATACGCTTCTTCTGTGGCGATTTTGTTAGTGCGGAAATCACTACCGGCAGCCAAGAGGAGAATTGTTTTACAAATCTGGCTATGGAGTGTTTGCGTGCAAGGAGAAGACTCCACAGATAGGCGATGGTAGAGTAAATTAATTAGGTAGGGACAACTTTACTGTAGCAGGTCAGCTCGGACAGGAAACAATAAATGAGCAAGAACATGTATAGACTGTTGCTTCATACAACGCGTACGACGTATTAACAGGCTGTAATGTTTTACAGCAAATCGGCACAGATCCCAAGGTTGCATCCGTGCGGCAGCGATTTCGTAGGTGTGCGTCGCCGAGTGCTCCTAATCCACCTCCACTAGACTAGTGTCATATGCATGACACTAGTATAAGTTATTCCCCACTATGACCAATCTTACATAAAATCACAAATGGTAACACTTTAACAAAGGAAAAGAAGTATAGGAAATTATTTGTACCACCACTATTAACATGTATAGCTAGTTGTATCATGAACAGTAAACAAATCGCCACAAAAAAGTACGGAGTGTTTCTTGGTACGTTTTTTTAAAAAGCCACTGGTGTTTCTATTGATAACCCATGGTACAGTATTAAGTCCTTCTCCATTCTCTTTAGTTGTTACATTTCGGCCCAACTTCTGTGTCCACTGAGTGCTGGTTAGTATTCTACGTTTAGCTGCAGTAGGCCTAGTTCACTCTATTTTCAACCCGTTGAGGTCCATGGTCTTTTTTAGTTACAGCGAATACGTTAAAATGATCATGCTATAACTTTGCAACCACAACTCAGATTAAAATAATTTATATATGTAATTTGACCAGAAAAATGCTTAGCTTGAAACTGTTCGATTAGTCGCTCCTGCTAACTAGTATTAAATTATTTTTCAGGAATAACATTAATTAATCTAACTAATTGCTGCGTAATATTAAATGGTTTTTACCTCATTTAAATTGGATACATATGTTAAATAAAGTATGATGTCTATTCTGCTAATAACCGCGCCGCTCAACGCGAATGCATAACATTTTTAAGCAAGAGTACTGCAATACTAAGAGCATCTTCAGCCGTTTGGCCCCCAGCGCACCCGGCGATAGCGATTTGGTCAATGCGCCGGTGGTTTTTTCGCCCCGGGGGCGATGCAGTTCCCAGCCGCGCCCCCAGGTTTCTGAAGAAAAAATGCCCTAAAGGCAATAATAAAGTTGTTATTATATTTCCTTATATCATGATAAATGTTTATTATTCATGCTAGAATTGTATTAACTGGAAACTTAGTACATGTGTGAATACATAGACAAAACAGAGTGTCTCTACTATGCCTCTACTTGACTAGCTCGTTAATCAAAGATGGTTATGTTTCCTAACCATAGACATGTGTTGTCATTTGATGAACGAGATCACATCATTAGAGAATGATGTGATGGACAAGGCCCATCCGTTAGCTAAGCATAATGATCGTTTAGTTTTATTGCTATTGCTTTCTTCATGACTTATACATATTCCTCTGACTATGAGATCATGCAACTCCCCAATACCGGAGGAACACTTTATGTGCTATCAAATGTCACAACGTAACTGGGTGATTATAAAGATGCTCTATAGGTGTCTACGATGGTGTTTGTTGAGTTGGCATAGATTGAGATTAGGATTTGTCGCTCCGAGTATTGGAGAGGTATCTCTGGGCCCTCTCGGTAATGCATATCACTATGAGCCAATGTGACTAATGAGTTAGTTACAGGATGATGCATTACGGAACGAGTAAAGAGACTTGCTGGTAACGAGATTGAACTAGGTATGATGATACCGACGATGGAATATCGGGCAAGTAACATACCGATGACAAAGGAAATGACGTATGTTCTTATGCGGTTTGACCGATAAAGATCTTCGTAGAATATGTAGGAGCCAATATGAGCATCCTGGTTCTACTATTGGTTATTGACCGTAGATGTGTCTCGGTCATGTGTACATAGTTCTCGAACCCGTAGGGTCCGCATGCTTAACGTTCGATGACGATTTGTATTATGAGTTATGTGATTTGATGACCAAAATTTGTTCAGAGTCCCGGATGAGTTCACGGACATAACGAGGAGTCTTGAAATGGTCGAGAGGTA